CTAATAGAAGCCACATAACTTTCAGCAAAAGCAACATCTGAAATGGACAGCACATGTGAAATGAAAATAATGACGTTAAATAATTCAAATAAAAGGTGAGGAAAGAAGAACTGAAGAAATACTGAAAAGAGCGATAACAGTTACTGGACACGAGAAACATATTTTCATCAGAAATTGTTTTAATAGAAAGATTTTAGAAATTTCAACCGAAAGTAGAGAATCACCGACTTCTCGGACAACTTTTTGTATATTTATCAGATACTTGTGGCGTACTTTGTCGAAGGCCTCTACATACTCTATGAAACACGTCCTTTTGCATTTGTATCGCTCTTTCTGATAACATTCTGAGCATGAATATTGCATTCCTTGTTCCAGTGTTTTTAACGAACCCGCACTGTTCTCGTCCTATCTCTGGCCTGATTCTGCTGCGCATTCTATTCATCAGAATACCGATGATGAGTTTTGTCACGTGGCTCATACTGTTCGGTGTCATTCGCATTCGTTTGCGCCTGGTTTCTTTGAGGCATAACCATGAAGATTGATCTGCTGAGGTACTTCCGCTATGTTACCACAGGCACTACCGAAAATGCATACTGCTAAACAATCTTAAATTCTCGGTAGGATTTCCAATTCTCTCCGAATTGCCTCGCTGTATAGATTGAATAAGTCCGGTGAGAAGACGCATCCTTGCCTCACGCCCCTTTCTATTTTCGTATATTCACTGAACTCATTCTCTATCCGTATGCAGGTCGTTTTCTGCCAGTATAGGTTCTTGATTATTCTGATATCTTTCCCAAATATATCAAGGTTGCTGAGCAGTTCCAACAAATCTCTGTGGCGAACTTTGTCGAACGCCTTTGTGTAGTCTATAAAACATAGGTACACGTCATTCTGCATTTGTATTGCTCTTTCTGATAACATTCTGAGTATGAATATCGCGTTCTTTGTTCCGGTGTCCTTAACCTGTACTGTTCTTGTCCTATCTCTGGCCTGATTCTGCTGCCCATCATCAGCTTACGAATTATGAGTTTCATCCCGTGGCTCATTAGGCTTATTGTTCGGTGGAATTAGCATTCATTTGCGCCTGGTTTCTTAGGTGTAGCTATGATGATAATGACCTGCTGAGGTCTTCTAGTATATCTCCACTGTTGTAGATTTCATTTGTTATTTTGGTGATCTTGTCCATCTAAAGCTTTCAGTATTTCCGTTATAATTCCGTCTGGCCCAGCTGCCTTGTTTCTGTTCAATTTGGCCAGTGTGGCTTTTACTTCGGTTTTCAGAATTCCAGGTCCGTCGGTAGTTCTGCGTATTGCTGGTTGTTCCCTTACGTCGTGGAAGAGTTCTCCAATATACTCGCTCCAGCGTAATTTTTCTTCCGTGTCTGCTATCAGTACTGTATCATCTGCGTATCTTATGTTGTTAAGATTGTGGCTGCCAATGACAAATCCCAGTAGGACTTCCAATTCTCTCAACAGATTCTTGTGGCGTACTTTGTCGAAGGCTTTTGCGTAGTCTATGAAACATGGGTAGACGTCGTTATATATTTTTACCACTCATTAATGATTTTTAATGATTTTTTTCTATCGGTTACAAATATCTGTAGGACGAAACAAACAATATATGTTGTTTCGGAAGATGTAAAAGAAGTCATCATCAGTGGCATTTCTGGGATAGTGGCCATTAGTACGTCAAAGATAAAATTCTATTATATCGGATTTTTATAAACATAGAATTAATACTATATTTTTTCCCATCATCCTAATCATCAGTTCTATAACCAGGTCAGGTCGTACGGTAATTGAGCAGCTGAGGACCTGGTCATTTCCTTCCATATGTCTGTGTTGAAAGCATAGCGTGTCTTGAGCAAAATGACCTGGTGGAACCTGGCTCACTCTCCAGGTTAAACCACGAGCGATATCCTCCATCTCGAAAACTCAACGGTCATGTGACTGTTGATTCAGTCGGAGGGAACTATCTTCTCTGGCCGTTGGCTTAAGGCTAGGAAGCCATCCACCCAGCGATGTTATTTTTTTAAGAGACCGATATTAAGGGATTTTTATTTTTATAGTTAATACTAGGTTTTACATTAGGATTGAATGGGTTACATTGTTTTTGATGATTTTTTAATATAATTAGAATAAAATATACAAATCACTCAAAATCAATAAAATGTTAACAAATTTTGAAATAAGCATATTAAAAAATAAATATGTCAGTACGAATTGACACCGGAAGTCGTGATACCGCCACAAACCAATATGAGGCTTGAAAACCCGATCCTTGGAGAACGATGAAATTGATACAAACTCCGGAAATGGAAGAGAAATTTCTTCCAATAGTTGTTATTTCAAATGAAACGTAATAAAAATTCAAAGCATTTTAAATTTAGTTCTTGCTGTTTTAAATAAGTTTACCACGTCAATATTATTTGAAAATATAAATAAATACAATTTTAAAAAATATGTAATTCAAGCAAAAATAAACAAACTAAATCGTTAGAATCCCAATGCTAATTTTATCCGACATACCAGTGACACTAGCTTGACGCATTTTTTGTTTCCGTCCAAGTAAGATATTTGAGTTAGGGTACAATTCAATTCGTTTTATATATCTACTTATTTTTTTTTATATTTTATAAATGCTACACACACATAAAAAAAAAGAAAATAATTCACTCATAAGGAAAATCCTCGAGAGTGCCGCCATTGAATATTATCTAAAAAATAATCTACGACCAGGTTTTCCCAGTTTCACTTTTCCTAACAGAATCTCTACTCTTCCAAGTCAACGTACACAAGAAATATATCAACAAATCAAAAGAAAACGATTGAATCAGTCAACACAACAAGACAAACAATATTTCTACACGTGAAAATATTCTCTTCAAACATAAAATAATTGACGTAATTTTTCAATTGAATATATGAATATACAATAGCGTTTCTTAATTCTTCTAGTTGCTAACGAGATTTAGTTTTTTGTTTATAGATACTTTGATTCAATCAATTCATTTTGTTTTTAGCTTGAAAAAGTTAACATTGAATGAAACGCGCGGTTAAAAACAACAGTTTTCCTGCTGTCTTTTTCCTTAATACATATTGTCTTTTTCTGCAAGTTAATTCTGGGAAATTTTTACAAATATACTTAATGAAACAAACCAGTTGACAAAATCATCATGATACACTTTTATAGTTACAAATAAGAGCAAGGTAAAATTTGGCCCCAAATCTATGTCAAATCATATATTTAGCCCTCCCACCAAAAACAATTTCCCAACTATAAATTCTTCCCGGTGGACGAAATAAAGGGTTTGGATCGAAATTCCAATCACCTGAAGAAGGCCGGAGCGTACAATGGCCGTAACGTTGTGGATATGGCAATGAGGATGAGGATAACAGACCGAATAATATAAATAATGCAAGTAATAATAATAATACCTCATCTCAGAGATACAGAGGCCGAAACGTTGTGAATATGGCAATGAAAGTGAGGATAACAGTCCGAATAATGTAAATAATGCAAATAATCATAATAATTCATCTCAGAGATATAGACAGATATTGAGAAAAAAAATCAATAATAAATCTTATATTCCATTTGAAGAATTTGCTTTTTCTAAAATCAAGTCTTAACAAAGCAAATAGTCATGTGTTTCCTGACTGAAATTAAGCCCCTTTTCTCGGGGCTATCAGTCTTGCACTTGTTATATTCAAGACACCTAGGTGTTATGAATACATACGCAAGTACCGCTTATGGGTACCGTGAGATATTTTGTTTTCGCTTCCATAGTTGTCAGGATTGACGAGACCGGACTGTGTCCAACGAAAAATGACGAGACTCACACCTGTTTAAATATGACGCGGTAATGACACTTGGTGACATTTGGTATTAATTGTAATTTAATACGCATATTTTGTTGAAATGCAGTAATTATGTGTAAAGAAATGAAGGAAGGAAGAAAGAAAAATGGTGAAAATGAAGAATTAGGAAGAGAAGAAAAAAAAAACGAGGGGGAATCCTGAAAAACTGAACAAGTAGAGAAGACAAATAGAACAAATGGATAAATGAATAATGGCTAAGAAAGAAGAATAAAAAGAAAAGAGAGAAATGAATGAGTCAATGAAGAAAAAGAAAGAGAAAGATAGGATGCTAAATGAAGAATTAAATATGAAGCAATGAATTAAAGAAAAAGAAGAAGAAAATAAAAATGAAATAATTTGAGGTACTGCAGGAAAAAAGACGGAAAGGTCAAAAACAATAAAATAAAGTTAAAGGTAAAGAAAGAAAGAAAGAAAGAAAGAAAGAAAGAAAGAAAGAAAGAAAGAAAGAAAAACAGAAACAAACAAACAAACAAAGAGAGAGAGAGAGAGAGAAAGGAAAAAGAAGGAAAGAAAGCAAAAGGCCGGGAAAGTGGAAAATGAACGAGGGACAAAGGCAAAGGCAGAAAAAAGAAAGAAAGAAAATAAAAGGGAAAGGGAGAAATGAATAAGAAAATGAAGAAAGAGAAGAAGAAAGACAGGATGCTGAATAAAGAATTAAAAACAAAGTAACAAATCAAAGAAGAAAAAGTAGAAAGAAAAAAAGATGAAATAATCTGAGGTAATGCAGGAAAAAAAGACAGAAACATCAAAAACACTAAAATAAAGTTAAAAATAGGACCAGAAAGGAGGAAAGAAAATGTATAAAATAAAAAAGAAGGAAAGAGAAATGCAATAAAGGGGGGAATAGAAAAATAAAGAGAAAAGGAAATAAGGGAAAAGTGCGGTAAGATTAAATAAAAAAAGTTAAATAGAAAAATGAAAAGAGATTTAATGAGTTAAAAAGAATGAAAAGAAAATACGAGGAAAAAGACAAATGAAGGAGTCAGAAAAGAAGTTGAAAATAAAAGTTGGCGAAAATGTCGTAAAAAGAGAAAGCAAAGTAAAAGGAAACACTGAATTAGTAAAGGGAATAAGGAAATGGTCAAAAATTATTGGGGAAATGATAGAAAAGGAAGAATTTCAGTGAAAAAGAAAGGAAAGAAGTTGAAAGAAAAAAAGGTAGAATGAAAAAAGGGGGCAAAATGACATGAAAGTGGAAAAAGAACCAGGGACAAAGGCAAAGGCCAAAAGAAAGAAACAAACAAATAAACAAACAGAGAGAGAGAGAGAGAAGGAAAGGGGGAAAGGAAAAAAAAGGAAAGAAGACAAACGGACGGTAAAAAAAGAACTAGGGACAAATGCAAAGAAAGAAAGAAAGAAAGAAAGAAAGAAAGAAAGAAAGAAAGAAAGAAAGAAAGACTGTTGACTGGAAGGAAAGAAGAAAATTGTTAGATACGGATTTTGTGGAGAGAAAGAAAGAAAGAAAGAAAGACGACAAAAAATCAGGAAAGTGGCAAAAGAACCAGGGGCAAAGCAAAGCAAAGCAAAGAAAGAAAGAAAGAAAGAAAGAAAGAAAGAAAGAAAGAAGGAAGGAAAGAAAAAAAGAAAGAAAGAAAACAGAAGAAAAAAGACAAATGGTAGAAAAAGGGGAAAATAAGACCAAAGGTAAAGCAGAGAGGGTGGCAAAAGAACAAGAGAGATGGACAGAGAAAGTAAACTAAATAAATAAATAAAGAAAGAAAGAAAGAAAGAAAGAAATATGGCAGAAAAGTGGAAAAAAGAAAGATGAAAGAAAAAGAATGAGTTCTAAAAGAATTCTATCTATCTGGAAGTTTTGCTTCCTGGTCGGGATAATGATGGCGTTTCTATTAATGCCGTATTTTCGATTTTCGAACGCAGCTAAAAGTCATGAATTCAAAGACAGGCATTTCTTTACTGCGTTTCACTCCATCTTGCACGTTATCCAACTGCCATACCAAGCTAAAAAAAAAAAAAAAAAAAAAAAAAAACATCGTTCAAAATGTGTGAGTGTGCTGCAAAAGTGATATATATTTTATGCCTGTTTACCATTTTGTTTCGATGAATTAATTCTTGGTACAAATCCTGTAACTTGACCTGATTCTAATCTAACTAAATGTTCTTCATCAAAAATTTGTTTATTCAAATTTACTTTTTTTTTTCTTCGGAGTTTGAGTCAGGAGAAAGTTTTAAAGAAATTAAGAACTGCAAAGAAAATGATGCCAGCAATCAGCAAAGAGATAAATAACATTTCTTGAACACATAATGAGGAAAGAAAGCTTGGAAAATTTAACACTCACAAAATATGCTATATGCGAGGAAAAGAGCAAATAACAAGCTTGTGGCGAAAAATAGCAGAAAAAAGAAGAAAAAAGGGATGATAAAACGGCAATTTATTTCAGCAAAAGACACGGATTTCTGCGCAGTTATGGTAGCTCACGTCCTGAAAGGCATAGTATATAAAAAAAAAATCTGGGATTACGAAGGGGTCTTCAACAAGTGGCTGGAACGAGATATACAGGGTGCGATAGATAAATTGACGTATAAATTAGGCAGAAAATAGAAATAACACTGACATCCCATCGCCCCGGCCTTCTTTAGGCGATTGAAACTTCGAACTGAACACTGGGACATATGGATCAGTGGAAATCAGTTGAATCCAGTGACTTGACCCAAAGAGTTGTGAGTTCAGTACCTAGCTACAGTAGAGGTGAACAAAATCTTGTAGACATGAGTTAAAGGGAGATAACTGATACTAAGGCATCCGGAAGAGGCATAGCACGTGGAACTACAATAATCTAACCCGGCGGACGAAAAAATATGGGTCGAAATTCCAATCACCTGAAGAAAGCCGGAGCGTACAAAAGCCAAAACGTCTCGTATATAGCGAAGAAGATGAGGACAACAGTCCGAACAATGTAAATAGTGTAAATAATTACAATACCTCATCTCAGAAATATAGACAGATACAGAAGAAGGCCGGAGCGTACAACGGCCGAAACGTCGTGAATATGGCAACGAAGATGAGAACAGTTCGAACAATGTAAATAGCGTAAATAGTTACAATACTTCATATCAGAAATATAGACAGATTCTGAAAAAAGCCAGGGCGTACAACGGTCGAAATTTCGTGAATATGGCAACGAAGATAAGGACAATAGTCCGAACAATGTAAATAGTTCAAATAACTAGAAACCAATACAATGTTTTGCTCAAGGACAGTCATAGGAATACAGTGTAGAGATAGTAAATAAAAATGATAGGTGTAATGATAATGATAATATTTTTCCTACAAATTAAAAATAGCAGGAAATTAAACATAAAAAAAAAGTTTTTTGCCAGAGGTAGTTTAACTCAATACTGCAAATTAATATGAAATCAAAACATCAACCCGAAAACTCGCGCCATATTCTTAAATAACTTCTTTCATATAGATGCATGCTTGTCACCAAAATTCGTTCAGAAATATTTAAACTGTCAGCTCTATACAACTATTTCTTAAGATCAATGGTGGGAAAAAACTTTGAGCGAGTAAAGCCTGGGGGTTTTGACAAAGATCATCCTTTTTTGATAATTGTGGATTGGCGGTAAATAATCACAAAGAACTGTGCCAAATAACAGAAACCACATCACTTGAAGACTACCAACAGCGGCAACAACTAAAATGGATAGCATATTGGAAAATAAATACGTAATCTGTTAACATTCTACAACATCTGTCTATATTTCTGAGATGAGATATTATGTACACTGTTTACATTATTCGGACTATTGCCCTCATCTTTGTCACCATATTTATTACAACGTTTCGGCCGTTGTACGCTCCGGCCTTCTTCAGGTGGTTCGATGGCGAACTGAACCCTTTATTTCACTAACTGGGGTAGACTGTTCTAGTTCCACATGTCATATTTAATGGATGTCAGTTATCAGTTATCTGTTAATTCCTCTTTCCAAGTTCTCAACTGCCTTAGCCAAGTATTGAACTCACACCTAGTGAAATAAATGCTTCAGTTTGACATTCCAACCACCTGAAGAAGGCCGGAGCGTACAACGGCTGAAACGTTGTAATAAATATGGCCATAAAGATGAGGATAATAGTCTGAGTAATGTAAATACTGTACATAATACCTCATCTCAGAAATATAGACAGAAACAGAACAATTTTATAAATGTTAACCAATTTCACTACTGACTGCTCCGTCAATGAATGCCAAATCTTTCCTTATAGGGAAACGGTTAATATTAGTATTACCTTTACATAGTGTATTGGTTTCTACTTGTTTTCTCCATGTTCTCTTTCTCCGTTACTAATGCTCTATCAAGTGCAAAATGACTAGTCAGCTATTTTACTCATAGGTAGGTTTGGTTTGGTTTCGTTTCGTTTGTTTTGTTTTATGGCATATCAACCTCAGTGGGTCATTTAATGTCGACAACTTTTTTTTTTCCAGGTAATATTTTTTTTCCTCAAAAACGTATAGCTGCTCATATTATTTTTCCTAAAAAAACGTATAGCTGGTAATAGTTTTTTTTCAAAAACATTGCTGGTAATAGTTTTTTTCTTCAAAAATTTATTTCTGATAATAATTTTTTTACAAAGTATTTCTGGTATTAAAACCTATTTTTACACTTTTATAATTTCTTTTACCTCAGTTTCTGTGTTAACTATCTTCCCACAGCTGAGACACCAACAGGTTCCACCACCCCGGGACAGGGTGACCCGGGAATACCAGCAACCAAGTGGAGGCTTCACTCTCCTCAAAGTCTCCCGATCAGAGGCCTTGTTGTTGGACGTAGTTTATCGTCTTACCCTGGACGCGGATGTAGTATATCGTCATGCCCAGGACGCACTCATAGGTAGGAGTGAAAGGCTAGATTCAGGCAGTTCTCAAAAACATGAGTGAATTCAACAGTTTCTCATGGAATTTGAAACGGCCTACCGATTTTAATTTTTGCACCGGCAACTGTTACGCTAGACATTCCACCACACACCACACCAAAGTCGATACGAAGCAACAATTTCCGGATATCTAAGCTAACGATAATTATTTTCATGCAATTTGATAATTACATCCGCTGCAATATATGCCATAACGAACACACATTTAAAGTAGAGTTCAATTTCACAAAAAAATAAATAAATAAAACAAAAACCTGGGATTCAGCTGAAATCTGTAATCATTAGAATAGAATAGGGCATTTAACAGCGATAAGATCGCAACTTAGACATAGCCTGATGAGGAAAACAACAGCTTATTTTACACGAGGAATATTTACTTTTCAACATTTTTTCAGCCTTATTTCAGTGGTAAATTTTAATCGCATAATTCCCGCATTATACAGTGGAAAATTTGAACGGGGGCATATGATCTCTTGTTACTTGCATTATTTACATTATTCGGACTGTTATCCTCATCTTCCCCGCCATATTCAGAACGTTTCGGCCTCTATATCTCTGAGATGATGTATTATGATTACTTGCATTATCTAAATTATTCGGACTGTTATCCTCATTTTTATTGTCGCATTCACAACGTTTCGGCCTCTATATGTCTGATATGAAGTATTATGATTACTTGCATTATTTACATTATTCGAACTGTTATCCTCATCTTCATTGACAAGTTCACAACGTTTCGGCCTCTATATCTCTGAGATGAGGTATTATGATTACTTGCATTATTTACATTATTCGGACTGTTAACTTCATCTCCATTGCTATATTCACAATATTTCGGCCATTGTAAGTCCCGGCGTTCTTCAGATGATTGAAATTTCGAACCGAACCCTTTATTTCGTCCGCCGGGCTGGATTATTGTAGTTCCACGTGCTATGCCTCTTTCGGATGCCTTAGTATCAGTTATCTTCCTTTAACTCATGTTTACAAGATTTTGTTCACCTCTACTGTACCTAGGTACTGAACTCACAAGTTTTTGGATCAAGTCACTGGATTCAACTAACGCTTTTTTTTCCACTGATTCATGTGTCCTAGTGTTTGGTTCGAAGTTTCAATCGCCTGAAGAAGGCCGTGGCGATGGGATGTCAGTGTTTATTTAGTGTAGATTGTTTTAGTCCCAAGTGCTGTATGGTTAAAGTGTACTTGCACAGTTTGCAGTGGATCAGCACTCCTGCCCAGTCTTGTATTTAGTAATATTTTTTGTTTAAATTATTTGTTTCCACAAAAGGTGTTTGGAGATATAGAGATGGCGAGAGAGAGATAGAGAAAAAGAGAACAGCGAGAAAGGGAGAAAAAGAGAGAGAGAGCAAAGAAAAAGAGAGAGCTAGATAAAAGAAAAAAGAGAGAGAGAAAAGGGAAAAGAGAGAGAGGAAAAGAAAAGTGAGAGGAAAAGAAAAAAGAGAGAGAAAAAGAGACAGAGAGAAAAGAGAGAGAAAGAGAAACAGAGACAGAGAGAAAAGAGAGAGGAAGAGAGAGAGAAAGAAAGAGTGAGAAAAAGAAAGAGAGAGAGAAAGAAAAAGAGAGAGTGAGAGAAACAGAAAAGTTTCGCTTCAGATCTCTAGCCCTGTCTTGTATCGGACTGTTATCTTCATCTTCATTGACAAGTTCACAACGTTTCGGCCTCTATATCTCTGAGATGAGGTATTATGATTAAAAATTCATGCTTTCTTTCATGCAGAATCATAAATCCAGACAGTTTCAAATTTCTCTCGACTTTTTCACCAAATAAAGATTCTCTCTTTCTAAGCTCTGTTCAGAGTGCTGGTACTATTATGTACAACCACAATCCGTATACCTAACGGGTGAGGTTCTGTTATTTTCTAAATTTTCGCTCTCTTTCGTTTTGAAATGTGGTCTCTTGCATTAGTTGCATTATTCGTGCTATGGTCCTCATCTTCATTGCCATATTCACAACATTTCGGTCGTTGTACGCCCCGGCCTTCGGATTTCGAACGGAACCCCTTATTTCGTCCACCAGGGTAGATTGCTCTAGTTCCAAGTGCCATACTTCTTTCGGATGTCTCAGTTATTCCCCTTTAATTCAACTCTCCCAATTTTGGTTCACCACTGCTCTGGTATTGTATAGTCACCGGATCTTACTATCGTCTTTATCCACTGGGCTATGTGTCCTTGGGGACGTTGGTTAGATCCAGTGACTAGACTCAAAGAGTTGTTAGTTCAATGCCAAGTTTAATTAGACGATGTCAATTGCAACTGCAACAAAAAGCGAAATTAAAGTTAAACTTTTAATAAAGAATTGTTTCTTAAACATTTCACTCTGAACGATATTTAAATCTAACTTTAAATGAATAATTTATTTAATTTTTAATCCTGTGAACATGCAGTAGTTACTACATGTTACATCAGGTTGTTTATGATTCGACGTGTGCGAAAATCAGACGGACAGACGGACATACGTACACTGCACTTTATTTATATAGATTATTATTATTATTTTCTCCCGTGAAGTTTTTCATTTACAAATAGAAATGTTGGATTATGGTTTTTCTCCTTCAAGTCGTACAAGCTCAAACAAATAGCACTTTTTAGAGACTATATGCTGTGTCAGACAACCCAGACTTCCAGTTTTGTTAATGTAGCACTTTAAGAAAAAAAAATATTTGTATTAAGAGACTGATGTCCACTTTTTACCAATTACGTATTTTTGTTGACAATTTTCTTCTTGGTTGATTTACCATTAGGTTCGGAAAATAATGTTCGATTTTAGAATCAATGTTTTTTTCCTGAATTAATGTATTTAAACAGTGTTTAAATCAACCAAAATATGAAGCCTGAACATCTAAACATTTCTAATATTCAATTACAAGGTTATTTATGCCTTTACGATATAACTAAAGGTTTCAACGAAATCTTTGAATGCTGTTTCTGCATCTTCTTTGATTTAAAATATTATCAAAAAGTATTGGGCAAACGATCAGGGGAATATTGTGGGTGTGGCAAGATCTCGTCTCTAAAGTCGATGAGTATCTGCAGTGTCATCCTGACCGAGTA